AGGGCTCAAGATGTGTGTGTGTGTGTGTGTGTTTCTACAAAACTGCCTTCAAGAAAGACGAGAAGGTAAATAAGAAATTGTGATTGTTAATCGTATAATTTGAGGCAAATCGCTGATCTTTGGCTTAATACTTGCATAGTTGAAGTAAAGATAAAAATAAATCTGAGTTGGTACAAATGCCTATCTTCACTCTGCATTATAGCCACAGTCTTTGGATTAAAAAGATATAGAAAAGTAAATTCAACATTCATATGTTGAATAAACGCTTATTAAGGTCCTACTTTGCCCAGAGCACTGAGCCACTGCTGCTGGTGGAAAAAGGGAAGATGGCATCCCAAAGCTCCCCTATGATGCCAATGAACACTCAAGGCTGAGAACCACTGCCTTCAACTCTTTGCTGCGAAGCCACACGTTTCCCCATGCTGTTCTCATGCAGTTGATGTTTAGACCCAAGTACAATCATCTGCATCCTCATTAATGTTCCCTTTCAGTCCTTTCAGCTTCTATTTCCATCATTTGTTATATTATCTACCCCCCTTAGCTTTGTGCTAAACTGAAAACTTGGTTTAAATCCAAATGAATATTTTTTCACTTTTTCACCAATGTTTCCTTATACTACATGTAAAACTCTCATTACTTAGTTCTCTGAGTTTCAGATGCATCTCTTTGTAGAAGATGCCTCTTCCCTCTCCTCCAGTTAGAAGTTCCTAACATGCAGTAGAATTTATACCTCCTGTATGTCCCCATCAGAGGAAACCATTTTGTTAAATTTCACTATTGTCTGAATTATGTACACTTTTAATTTTTCAAATACACAATTATTTTATAATATTGAATGAGCTTTTTGAAAATAATTGTGATAAATGTGACACACTAATGTTAATAAGGGAAACTGTGTGAGGGGTGTATAGGAATTCTCTTTTAACTCTCTTTTAACTTTTATGTAAATCTAAAACTATTCTAAAATGAAACGTTTATTTTTATTGTGAAAAATACCCACAAGATTCTAATGCGAAGCTCTATTCTTGTCCTCACCCTCAAATGCAACTGCATTTCAGAATCAGTGATGCATAGTCTGTTGTTAAAAAACAGTGGTCAAGGTCCCTGGTCCATTTCTACAGCATTTTTGCCTGAGGTGACAGTAGTTATGGGTAGGCACTGGAGTTAGACACATCTGGCATCGATTTCTGGTTCTTCTACTGTCTAGTTATAGGTTGGGATGGTTAACTAATATTTTTAAATCTTGTTACCCAATAATTTAAGGAAAATAATAATATCCAAGAATTAGATAAGCTAATACACATAAAGCACATAACACAGTGCCTGGCACATAGTCAATTAATAATGATTAATATTATCCTTCATAACATCTGATCCTGAAGTTAAAAATTCTGTTAACCGTATCATCATTTGGCCCACATTTCCTGATCTTCCCATGTGCATATCTTGACAGGCTTTGTGGAACAGAGATATAAAGAATTCCTCTCCCTTCTTAGCTGGGACAATGAAAAAGGATTTCAAAGGCTCTCCCATCAGACAGGTCTGAGGGGAAAAGCATTAGTGTGGTCAGAAAACCCCAAGTTGAATTCCTGCCTCTCTTCTTTACCACCTCCATGACCTCAGGCAAGTTATTTAATGGCCTGAGAGTTTTCTCATCTGTACAAATAATGACAAAATAATATCTGCCACAGTCCCCCAGAGTATCCTGGTAAAGATCACATAAAACAATATAAGTCTATAAAATTGCTTTGAAATATTGAAATCATTAATATATTGCACATAAACTATGTCTAATGCTCATTATTATTAAAGGACCTTTACTTTTCCCAACTGATCATTCCTCTCTAGGTTTCTTCCCTCAGAAATTGCTCGCAAATAGGCTTAAAATCTTTATAGAATTTTGATGGGAAATCACCGAATGTTCATAATTCTAAAATTATTACCATATATGATCTCTTTTTTAAAAAGTATTATAGTTTTTGCCTAGCTGTAGTTTTATGGTGCCTCCTTTTATTCCAATATCCCTCAAGTGGACTATGTAAGTTTGCTCAATTTCTGGAAGTGTAATTGAACAAAATTTAGTGCCTGCGATACACCTGAGCCATTCAGGAGTTATAAACCACTTTGCCTTATGGTCTTAGTGGAGCATGTTTGCATAGAAAGAGCACTTCTGTGGGATAAGGTAAACTTGGATATGATGCCGGCTTGGCTCGCAAATAATTGAAAATGGAGAAAACAATATAAACTTCATAGGAATGTTGTAGAGGTTAAATATCATTTTCACGATAACAATAGGTAGCATTTATTGATAGGTATTATTATGTTAAGTTACTCATACACATTATCCAGGTAAATCATAAGAAGAAGCATTCATCAAGATTTTTTGCTATCTATTTAGCAAAATTTCAACTTTGAGAGCTTCCTTTCCTTGTATTATCTTTTTTCTTAACTTTGTTTCTCTGATTCATCTTTTATTCCTTTCTTTTCCCTATATTTGAAATGTTCTAAATCCAGCTTCCACCCCAGCTTTTTCTTTCTGGGAAAACTCAAAAGATCTTACTTTTCTCTCAAGAGTTTTTAAACTTCCATTCTATCAGCAACTTTCCCTATTGAAATTTAGGCCCCAAGTAACAGTTATCTGAACTTCATTGTCTTTACTAAGTTATTTTAAATTTTCATTTAAATATAATTGTGGAGACCTTTACTAAAATTAATAGATACAAATTTTTAGTGAGGTTATCATAAGCAGAATCTTTATTTAATATGATATATAAAGACATAAAAATATAATATTTTCTTTGTCTCAAATAAAAGAGTAGAATGATTTTAAAGAGTCTCTCAAGAGAATTGGAAAAAGCACAAATCTATCATAACCTCTTACAACAGATGATTGCTTTGAATTACTTAAACAGGCTATGGCATTCTAACTTTCTTCTCAACCCTCCTTTATAATCAAAGTGTGCTGACATGCAAAATCTCTGTAAAAAAGAAAATTTCCTTTCCTTTTGCTGTTTTAACATCAAAAATGCAGCATTCGTTTCATCTCTGTGATCTTTTTTCTTATAAGGATAAAAATTCAAGATTTTCTCAACCCTCCTTTATAATCAAAGTGTGCTGACATGCAAAATCTCTGTAAAAAAGAAAATTTCCTTTCCTTTTGCTGTTTTAACATAAAAAATGCAGCATTCGTTTCATCTCTGTGATCTTTTTTCTTATAAGGATAAAAATTCAAGATATCTTTTTTAAAGATACTGTATTTACATAGAACTTTTTCTTAAGGAGGTGAGAACAAGCAATACACTCAAACCATGTGGTACATTGTAAATATGTAGTTGTGCAAATCTTGCCTTTGCACATACTGTTCATGTTGTTCTGATGTAGAGAAATACTCGTGATTGACCTATGACTAGATGCAGAGGTTATCTATCATATAACTGATTCATATAAACATTTGCTCTGATCTGCATAAAACCTATCTTGTGAAAGAAAAAAATACATACTATTTTCTAGAAGATCACAACCGGTTCCATCATTTTAAATTCTCATAATGAACAACACTGGCCTCTGCTGGTAACCAAGCTCATGATGAACCTTATTGGCTACTGAAGGCACTTCCTTTATCCAGGTGGATCTAAACTCACTTGGGGGTGTTTTTCATTGTTATTCATTTTTTGATGATAGGACAGCTGTAAATTTATGAGGAATCCAAGGATGAAAGTATCTATCTGTAGCTATGGACTTAAATAGACCCAAATGATAGCTCTGTAATTTGCCATTTCTTCTGGCCAAATAAATTTAAATGTTTCTGCTTTAATAGCCCAATTTAAAAAGTAACTTTTTGGTCAATAGCAAAGAGTTGGGAGTAAAAAGAGACTTAATGAATTTCAATTAAATTTTTAAGAATAATAATAGTGTACAGAATACAAACACATATTCCTTGAAGTTTATTTGCACTGCTTCCCAATACACATCATCTTATTCACAAAATGCAATGGAAATTACTTGAATATATGGAAAATGCAACCTAGATCTTCATAGAAACTGTAAATCTTCTACCCCCAAAATACTGTGTATCCAAGTGAAGGCAACTATCCAGAATTATACACAAATTTTGTGTATTAGTTCTCCAATAATTCTTCAAAGAAAAATAAAAGAATATTTGTATTTTAATGTGGTTGGGATTATTCTCTTTCTTAAAGCAGATATAATTTTTTTTTGATAATGTATGCTAAAGACGGCAAACTACAAGGTGATACATTTTTCCTAATTGACTGCAAGTACAAGGCACACTTCCTGCCATTGCCTCTGATGAGTCTTAGTCTGACCAGCGCGAACAATCTCTAAAACACTTGGGCCATTCTTCTCCGTGCTCACTGGTGATTAACACTGACCAAGACTGGATGGGCATTTGCTCCCACAAGTTCCCATCAAAGAACCTGGAACATATTTAAAAGATAAAACATTGAGTGCAACATAGGCTAAAACACTTGCCTACATTGTTGAAGAGTAAAGGAAGGGCGAAATGTAAACACTTATTCCTGCATTTGTCCGAAAGGTATTGTATCCTAAAGGATAGTACAGGATGAAATGTCCATACAGGGGAAATGGAGACTAAATCATTGATACGGAATTTAATTTTGGGAGTTCATTCAGATAATGACAGTGAAGGGCCTTTTCAAAACCAGTAAAGGAGAATGCAATTAGCTGCGATCAAAAGTTCATGTCACTGATGTATGGGCCTATGTATAAATAGAAAAAAAACTTAGTCACTACTGACCTCAAACATATTCGAAATAGTAAACATGTAAATCTCACAAGCCAGTGAATACTTTATAAAGTACTGACATTTCACAGAGTAGACTATAGTTGTTTTTTCCCCTGCCTCTTTCCCTCTGTCTCTCCCTTTCTTCCTTCCTTTCTGCTTTCCTTTGTAGTTCTTCCTTCCTTTCTTCTCTTGAGTGTGTTTAAATTATGCACTTCCAGTGTAAAGCATTTTTACTACATTTTTGAGAATCATACACTCCAAGCTGTATTAAACATCCTAACCTGTGCCTGAAAATACAGACACCATTTTAAGAAGGCATAAATACATTTTGCACACAAGTTGCCTTTCTGAAATACTTTCTTTTTCGATCTCCAAACACTTTTCTTGTCAAGATAGTGCAGCAGTGTTTGGAAAGCATTAGCACACCAACAGATGCTCAGAATCAAATGATTTAATAGGCATAAACTTTTTTTCAAATAATTGCAAAGCTTTGGTTTAGCCTTTTGCATACCTTGCATAGTTAATTACCTAGACCTTAATGTTTACATGCAATGAGAGTATCTACAGCTATAAACTACATAATTTATAATTGATGTAAATGGGTGTTATTATGTCAATTAGGCAGCTGTGTCCTCCACCTCTTGGTAAACAGCTTTGAGTGATAAACTGAGTTTGCAGAGAGGTACCTTCTTTTCTTCATAACAGATAAAAATAAATTACCTAGGTAGACCAGGCTGTCCATTTGTTCTCTGGTGAAGTAGATGGAAAATCCAGACCCTTTTTTTTGACCTGTTGACTGCCGCAAATGGTCAATTTCGTCACGCACCGCTGCCATAGCTTTTGGGTGTCGCAGAAGATAATACAGTGCCCAGAACATAACTGGAATAGTGTTTGCCACAGAGGCCCAGAGAAAGGCTAAATGATGTGCTGGGAGAAAATAAGTGAAAAGGAAGATTAATAGCGTTTATTACACTGATTAGATTTGCAGTGTGCTAATTAAAAGATGTTAGGACACAGACCCAGCCAAGGATCAGTGCATGCTAATGAGAACCAATAGGCTTCTGAAGTCTAATTTTCTGCTTAATGAGAATAGTTTAAAATGTAATGTGTGTGGGGGACAGGGAGGTGGGGGAAGAGATAAGAGGAGTAAATGCAGCTTAGTTATACTCTTTCTCATTATCACTATTAAGTATCTTGTTTTACAATCTCAGCAAAAAAAAAAAAAGTCAATTATCACAGAGGGTTGCTTCAGAGTAAAACATTCTATCATTAGCCAATTAAAAAGAGCATAAAAATTTTCAAGGTCACCATTTTGTCTTTTTATTTCAAAGATCTATGGTAAATTATTTTATTTTAGGGAAGTAATCATTCAGAAGTCTCTTACCTCCTATTTCAAAGTCCTCACGCACAAGATATTTCTCCAAAATGTTTTGCCTCATTTGAACAATTTCTGACCATCCTTGTAACTTAGCTAAGTTCTCTGATGTTAAGCATTTTATAAGCCTCTTCTGAACAGTTTTGACATCTCCTAGAAGCTCAATGGGTATGTTGGACATTAAATATGGAAACTTGTCATCCAATTTTATAAAATCATCCCTTAGCTTACTGATATAGTCTTTCCTGTCATCAGCAATAACTTTTCCATATAGGGTTATAAATGTGACCTCAAACATTATTGAGCTGCAGAACGTCAACATTTGTGCCATGTCCCAACTTGTGGTCTTTGATAGTTTGTGTTCAAGCACTTGTCTTAGATTCTGCATCATGCTTTCCAAGAGTATGTCCAAAGATTTGCCTTGCAAAAGTTGATAGCAGGTGTGAAGCTCATCATCCAGGTCAGCATTGCTTGCTAAGCTCTTGATACCAAATGCTTTTTCTACTATCTTACTACCGAATTGTCGAAAGCTTAAGTGTTTGTGACTTTTCAATAGTAAGTGGTACTGGAAAGGGTCCAAGATAAATGTTATGTACTTCCCTAAAAGAAATAAATAAGAACATGAGTTCGTTTGGAAGCAAAACAAAAATAAATACCTTAAATTTGAAAACATTTTAATCAAAATTAGAAAGACTCTAATAAAGCATGAAGTTTAATAAAAATCCCTTTCATTCAAAGGTCCGCTATATGTTTTCTTTTCTTTTTTCTCACTCCGTATCTACCTAAAAACTGGTACTCTTCTTTATCCTTTTTCGTCTTTTTTCCACGTCCGGCAACGGATCGCAACCCTCAGTGTCGCCCCCGCACTGGACCGGGACCGGCAACAGGATCGCAACCCTCGGCGCTGCTCCCGCGCCTCGCTCAGCCAGTGAGCGGGAACCGGTGTGTACGTGGGATCCGAACCCTCGGCGGGAGCGCCGCCGCCCTCCCCAAGTGGCGCACTATCGCAGTGCGCCACCGGGCCGGCCCCCGCTATATGTTTTCTTTAAAAATGGAAGGTGGAAGGAAAAATTCTAGAAGTTTGAAGTTAGATATCCTGGAGTTCTTAATGACCTTTAAAAAGATAGTTTACTTTCCAATTGTCATTTTAACTGAAGTACCCAAACATTTTAAACATCCTTTAAATATTCTCAGAATCCTTTGACTTAAACACTTTTCATATTTTATCCCCAATAAAACAACCTAACAATAAAGCAAATTGGTAGACTGTCACTCCATTGCTTATTACTTATCCTTCATAAAGAGCTTTTGCATACTTGGTATCAGCTTTGGTCTGATATAATAATTTTAACTCAAATAACTGATGTGCTATGAAGCAAGTACTCACAAATAAATGTCTAATTCAAAATAGGAAAAAGTCACAAATGCCAGCATTTTCATTTTTATAGATAAGACAATAATGGCTCAGGGAGATGTAGTAACATGTCTATGGTCGCATACTCACCTGTGACTTACACAGGATTCCAAACTAGAACCCATCCACTCATCCATTCATCCACACATTCATTCAACATTTATGGAGATCGGAACACTTGGTTGGATTCTTTTCCTCTTGAGATATAAAGGTGTAAAAAACAAAACATTGTACCATTATGGATAGTGATGTAGCAGAATTTTGGACACATGTAAGGTAAGCGGGAAGTGAAATTTACAGCAGTCTGCCTAGAGTTATCAGCAAGGGTTCCTTGAGGAGGTGACATTTATCTTTTTCATGTACCAGTGTTTCCCAACCTTATCTGATTGAAAAACTTGGAGTGATTGTTAAAAATATAAATTCCCACCAGATTCTGATTTTATAAGGCTTGGAGGTGTGGTCTCCAAGTCTATATTTTTGACAAGGTCCCAAGCGATTCTCATAGGAGTCACCTTCAGGAACACAGTCATACTATGGACTTTGTCTCAAAACTGTCAGGGACCTGAGGGAGTTCCTAGCTCAACCCCTGCATGTATCAGTTGAGAAAACTAAAGAAAATCAAGAGAGGTATGGGGCCAAGATCATGCCACCAGTTTTAGTGGCAGAGCCTGGACAGTAAGTTTCATCCCATGCACTGTTCTCTTTTTCACACAGTGCTGGTTTCTTCCCACTAGGGTGCTATTTTAAGATTCCTTTTAATTAGAAATATTATGCAGATAGTATTCAATAATTGCATTTAATAAGGCTTTCCTGTCCATGAACACACATAAAGTTTAGATGATCCTAAAAACTTTAATATCTAATTACTTATTATCTTCACTTCATTATTACTGTGTGAGCATGTGTGTGCGTGTGTGTGTACACACGCATGTGTAGCTTTCTTAGATGGACAACTCCCTTATTTGTGGTAATTCAAAAGGCACCAAAAAAATTAAATTCAATTTGGTACAAGACATTTAGGATAAAGTTTTAGAATAATTTTCAACTTAATCCTATAAATGAGAAAAATGTGTTTTTGTTTGACAATTTAAAAACTTAATTGAAGTTTTTAATATATGTAAATATACAAGTATACTTCAAAAAGTTCATGGAAAGATTGGCATTTTCTTTAATTCCATTTTCCCATGAACTTTTTAAAGTATACTTGTGAACATATTATTATTTATTTTTCTAAAAATGAATCATATGATCTGAATTTTATTCATTCCATTTAATAAGTCGAGTCAATCTAGAAATGGGAGTAAAGCTTGAAGTGGCTACGTACTCTGGTCAAATCCCAAAGCTGTCTTCTACAATGTAAACTGGATTTTTTGTTTGTTTGTTTGGTTTTTGGTTTTTTTTGCTCTGGGGAGAGAAAAAAGGACTCAACTGGATTTGGGCATATTTTATGACACCTGCTTTACCATAGCAGTTTAATTAAATAAAATTGCCAGCATCTGCCTGACAAATAATTGGAAAAAAAGTCAATTTGCTTATTTTGCAAAAGATATAATTTTAGGCAAAGCTGTGTATTTTCACAGGTGGTGATTCATACTTTTCTCCTTCCACTAAATGAAAAGATTTTGCTAATTATCTTTAGGGTTATTTTAAATTATTCCCCAAAATTCAGAGTATATAAAAGATTTAGTTTGTAAAACAAACAATCTTTAGAAAATATTTAAAAATTTTTCATACCAATTTTCTACATTCATCTAAATCTAAGCAGAAAGACAAAAATATATTCACACATGACAGCATGAGCTACCTGTTATTGGGCCTGCTTAAGTAGAAGCTGTGTGCATGTTAGAGTTTTGTTTTGTCTGCAATTCATTACAAATATACACATTCTCTCTCTCTCTCTCCTTCTCTGTCTGGCCCCACCAACACCCTTGAGAGTGAGAATATAGGAAGAAACTATGAGGTTAATTTCAAATAAAAGGAATAAAGGTTGAATTGAAAAAAACTGGTTTAGATTAGCAGCCAATTGCTAATGTTTTTTTTTTTTTTTTTTTTTACAAAACAAGCTGTTGATTGTATATAGGTTCTTTTCAAAAGTCAGTTCCAATTAGTTTAAGGCAATTTGTTTGCAGATGAAATTCTCACTCTTTTCAAGGCTCTTTTCACTCTAGGATCTGTATTTTCTTTTTCTCGTTCTTATTTTAATCTTCTTCAACATCAAGGCATTGTGTTTTCCTACTATCTTTTTGAGTGATATGTGGATTGCTTCAGAACTAGACGTTTTGATTTTCTAGATTTTACTTTTCAAGTGGGTTTGGAAGTACTAATAACCCTGGAGATGTTAGCTGGCTTTCCAACTTTTAATCTTCAGTATAAACAATTTAAGCTAAGTTTTCCAAAATTAATATTAATTTAAACCATCTGTCTACCATCTGCTAATGTGAGATGCAAAACCAGAGTTTCTTTGTGATCTTTAATCAGACAGTTAGGAATACACATATACATTCGTAAAATGAATTTAAATTTCCTAACAAAGGAAATCTTCTGAAAAGTTATTCTGAAGGCCATGTAGTCTTGGATCAAAATTAACTTTTGCTCCAGTGTGATTTTATGTAAATAAATGCCAAGTGTCAACAGGCATGTTTCCTAGTACACAAAGGTCACAAGGTAGAAACAGTATCCTTTGACATGTTTTTAAAAGAGAAGAGAATACTATCAGTAGTTGATATAAAATACTGATATAAAGAATTTCAGAATTTACATTTGCCTAAAATATAAATGTTGAAAAGGGGTCCACATCTGCAAAAACGTAAGATAAAATCATTCTTTTGAGCATTAAATTTGAAATGGGGTCAAAATTTTTGATGTCTGCCTTGTCAATTAGTTTATTCTGCTGACGTTTTAGGATTGGGCCTTATGGTATCAACCCTAGCATTCCTGTATAACCTTCACATAATCCTTTACTAACTCAACAGCCTTTTCACTTCCTTTAAAATTACTTCTTCAGATAGGTAAAGCTACATGATTTGAAGCATATCGGTAAATATACTGAAAAAAAAAAGTCAGTCAAACACCCTGATGTCTTATATGCAAGAAGTTTGGCATCTGTATTATTATAAATTAAATGTTGATGTTTTCATTTCACATATTTGGTGCTATGTAGAGACATAGCCATGGGAATTCAGGACAACTATTTGGCTGCTTGGAATAGAAATGCCCAGTAAGCAAACATGAAACAAATTTGAATTTTAAAGACATTTTCCATAACCATGAGATTTTAATCTCTGTGTTAAGCTGTTTTTTTAATAGAATTTTTTTTATCTGAAGCTGAAAATATTAGCTGCGAGAGTGGAATATGAGCCAACTTTTTATTTTATGAGGATAACCACATTTATGTTCTCCCCCTCTTATTAGGGAGATTTCACTAGCTGTTGACAATGATGTACAGTGGTCCTTTACTGGGGTGATATCTGGGGAAAATGATTCTGCTGCACCACCACACAAAACCAATTAGAGAACTATTTTCTGCGACAGGTCACGAACTTACATGGTTTCTCATGAAAAGATGTACCTTTTAATTTCTTTATTAAGATGACATCCATATCCCTTAAGACTTTTGGGGATGACAATCATTTGCTCATCATGCGAGAACAAACACTCACTGAAATCACATTATGGGACAAGAATGGAAGACTTTGTTTTTTATTTCACATTTTCTCAATGAGCTATCTTACAAACTGATTATTTGAACCATGTACAGTAACAGGATTTCTTGACAGGAATTTGTTCAAATTCTATTAAGAAGCGAAAGGGAATTAGTAGTCCATATTCAACTGTGGCTGTCTACTGCTGAGTTCCCAAACATAACTATGGTCAAATTATTTAGACATTAGAAATTCAGCAAGCTTCTCAAAATCTAAGATTAATATATCTAGTGTCAGCAGAAGTTGGTTGCTTTTCGGAAAGTGAATAAAATGACTAAAATCTCCACAAGTTTCTGCTTAATTATCTTAGGTTATTTTCATAAAATGTGTTAAAAGAAGAAAACTAAACATTTCATCAATTTGTTATGCCTACTCATTAGAAACACGTGTTAATTTTTTAAAGTAAGAGGGACTTTTTTTTTTAAAAAGGTGAAGAATATAGTTTTGGTGTCATGAAGCTAACAGCTCACTTAGAAAAGAAACAACAATTACAGCCTTTATTTGTATTATAGTATTTCATCAGCTCTAAGGTGTTAGGAATATCCCCATCAAATATTTACTGTGAATCAATCAGTGCTGAGCTCTGGACTAAACACTAGTAATAGAGGAGCTAACAAAACAATGAAGGGAGACAGACGAGTGAATGAGCAATAAATTCACAATGTATTAAGTGCTCTGACAGAAGAGACACCGGGAGTAAGGCATCCTGGAGAAGAGGCAGCAAACCTTGGAGGAGATGGGCAGCAAAAGCTTTCTGGTGGCAGCCATGTGTGACTATGGCCTCAAAAGATGAGTCCATGTCAGTCAGGTGTGGAACAGAATTCCAGCAGAAAGAAAGAACAGCAGGTGAAAATACAGACGCACAAAAAGGCGTGGCAGGTGAGGAGGAAATTCAAATGACGTGGCACACTACTAGCACAGTAAGCACAAATCGCACAGTAGCAAGAAACGGGGTTGGGGAGGCAGATGGAGAGCGAATCTTGGGGAGCCTCGTGTGGATTACATTATATACTACATTTCCTCTATTTCTAAGATGCAAGACTTTTTCCATCTCAATTTTCCTGAAATCAGAGTGCGTACAATTATAGTTTGCCAGCTGCCAGGCAAAAGAGCAAATAGTGATGAAACGAATACTGCCTGTTCGTGGGGACCTTGACCATGCTGATGATTTCATGCAGTTGGATCATTGTTTTTTTTCTCCCAAATATTACATTAAAATGGTAGCACCAAAATTAACTCCCTGTATGTACAAAAGGTTGCCCCTGACCCTCGGCAAAGAAATTGCAAGCAGAAAAAATTACTGGATCTCTAGGAATACAACATTAAATTCCAAGGCTAGTTAGAGGAAGATAGAGGAGTTGCACTTAGAAAGAGGCATGTGTGATGATGATCTAGATAAGGACTGCTCAGAGCAGGAGGAAGAACCGGACCAGGCAGTGTCCAGACAGTAAAGTAGTAGTGGAGTGTTTCCAGAAGGAATGAGAGATCAGTGCTGTCAAAACAGGTAGAGAGATCTAGTCAGCTGGACTGGCAATGACCTCAAAAAGGCAGAGGGCTAGTTATGGTTAGGAGGGCTCTAGGAAATAAGTGACCAGAGACAGCAAATGTGGGCAACTCTCTTGAAAAATCTGGAAGCAAAAGAGAAAACCAAAAGGAGTGGGAAGTAACTAGAGGAGAATATATGAGAAGCTTAAGCATGGTTATAAGCTAAGGGTAAGGACTCAAGAGAGGACAAAATGAAGATACGTGTGTGGGAAGAATGAATCATGATGCATCAGCCCAGAGGAGGCAGGAAGAGAGGGACATAGGGACAGGTAAATGGATTATGTTGAACTTTCTTTGAAATTGGAGAAAAGGTGGTAAGGATGATTGTAAAACACAGGTACATTTAATAGACACATGGGGACCTACAGGAAATAATACCTGATGTCTTCAGTTACATTATGAAGGAAAGAGGAGAACTGTGTTACCAGGGCCAGGTGGGAGCTAGGGAGCTGGAACACAGGGTCTTGTCAACCTCCCATTGGCAACAGCCGACCAGAAGTCCCGGAGCAAAGATGTGTGGGAATCTGGTCAGTAGAGTTCAGCCTCCAGGGCACAGACAGGACAGATGGAAGCAAAGAAAGGGAACAGCTAGCCCAGGTGCTAGACTGAAGTGGAAGACTGTGCACAAAGACCACAACAACTCTCTCTCTACGTGTGCTCCTGGGCAATGCGATTCTGCCACTCCCTCCAGAAAGAGGAGTTTGTTTCCCTGCCCTTGAATCTGGGCAGCGCTGTGCCCTGCTCTAACTAGCAGAATGTGGTGAAAGAGGTTTTGCAACATCTGAGCCTAGGCCTCAAGAAACCTTGCAGCTTTTCCACTCATTCTCTTAAAACATTACCTGCCACGTAAGGAAGCTTCCTTGAGTATGAAAGACAATGTGGTCAAGGAGGACCAGCCAGGCATGAGGTGAGGCCATCTTGTTCTAGTCAGCCACATGACCAAAGCCACACAGGTGACTCAGGCAAGACCGGTTGTTTTAAACAATTAAATCCGGGGGAAGTTTTTATGCAGCAATAGATAGTTGTTAAAACTGGATAGCTTGGGGGCCGGCCCGGTGGCGCACTGGATAGTGCGCCGCTTGGGAAGCGCGGCGGCGCTCCCGTCCGAGGGTTCGGATCCCATATACAGACCGGCTCCC